GGAGTAATTCAAGGAGTTTATTTGTAGACCTCGGTGGTAGGTCGATGGTTTTTTACTTGGTTTTGGTTTCGTCACATGTATTTTTTGACCTCAGTCGCAGGTCGATGAGTTCATTTGAATCAATTCAAGGAGTTCATTGGAGACCTCGGAGACAAGTCGATGATCTTTACTTCGCTTTGATTTTGTCGAATTTATTTTTTGACCTCAGTGGCAGGTCGATGGAGTTCATTTAGATTAATTCAAGGAGTTTATTTGTAGACCTCGGTGGCAAGTCGATGGTTTTTTACTTGATTTTGGCTTTGTCAAATTTGTTTTTCAACCTTAGTGGCAGGTCGATGGAGTTCATTTGGTGCAATTCAAGGAGATTATTCGAGGACCTCGGTGGCAGGTCGATGATTTTTACTTGACTTGGTTTTTTCAAATTTATTTTCGACCTCAGTGGCAGGTCAATGGAGTTCATTTGGTGCAATTCAGGGAGATTATTTGCAGAACTCGGTGGCAGGTCGATGATTTTTACTTTATTCAGTTTAATCGAATTTATTTTTTCGACCTCAGTAGCAGGTCGAGGCAGTTCGTTTGGAGCAATACATGGAGTTTATTTGTAGACCTTGGTGGCAGGTCGATGATTTTTACTTCATTCCGGTTTGTCGAATTTATTATTTAACCCAGTGGTAGGTCGAGGGAGTTCACTTGGTGCAGTTGACAGAGTTTATTTGTAGACCTCAGTGGAAGGTCGATGGTTTATTACTTGATTCGATTTTGTTCAGTTTATTTTTTGACCCAGTGGTAGGTCGAGGAAGTTCATTTGGAGCAGTTCATGGAGTCAGGTTATTCAGGTCAATGGTTTTATTTGGTTTGGTTTAGTAGAATTCGATTTTTCGATATGAAGATGGCGTTAGAATATTCGATTTTTGAGAGGATAGACAGTAGTGTTGAATTTCAAAGTTTGAACTGAGGGGCGACAGGACGAGGTGGTCGAAAAGGTTTATCTTTGAGAGAAGAAAGCTCGAACATGGTGGTAAAAAAACTGCAAAACGTGAGTTTAAATTTTCAAAATCAAGACTTCGGGAGGAGATCGAGAAAATCAAGTATCATGGAAGTCCAAGTAAGCAGGTCGAGAGATATCAAAGGAAGGTCGACATTGCAAAATGAGGAGCAAAGGAATCTACTCTAGGAATCAAGGTTCGACCTGAATGTGGCGCCAGGTCATTTGATATTCGACCTCAGTGGTCATTTGACTTTCGGTGTTCGACCCTAGTGGCGGGTACAGGTCGTTCGATTTTTTACCTCAGTGGTCATTTGGCTTTCGGTGTTGGACCCTAGTGGCGGGTCACTCGATTTTCGATCTCAGTGGTCATTCGGATTTCGGTGTTCGACCCTAGTGGCGGGTTACACTATTTTTTATCTAAGTGGTCATTCGATGTTCTACCTCAAAGACAGGTCATTCGGCTCTCGATCTCAATGGCAGGTTATTCGGTTTTCAACCTCAGTGGTAGGTCTTTTGGTGTTCAACCTCAGAGGTAGGTCTTTCGATTTTTAACCTTAGTGGTAATTCGGTGTTCATTTGGGCCTCGGTGCTCATTTGGATGTTTGGTGACTATTTGGTGGTCGAGGATTTATTCAAATTATAACCATAGTGGCAGGTTGACGGAAACAACCCGAAGAGTCATTTCACTCGTGGATCAAGTCATGCTTACACGACCAAATTGTAAGTGACTAGATGATATGAGGGATATTATACTAGACCGGCTTTAGTGGATAAGAAGGAATATATTGGAGAATAAGTTCACATATGGGCTAGGACACATGGCATAATGGTATGGGCCAAACCCAACTTGTGCATTAAGGTACAAATCCTCCTATAAAAAAGGGCTAAGGTATCTAAAAAAAGCATTCTCTCTACATTCATAATAATACTCTTGAGGCTTGAGTTTGGAGTGATATTGACTTAAGCACCAGAGTCCCAACGCCAGGACCCCTCCCGGCATTGAGTTCTTGCAGGTTTGGAGGACGTCCGAGTTGAAGGAGCCCGGGTGAAATCTATTTCACTAACATGCATGATATCTATTTATTGGGATTACGGCATCGTGTCCTGGACATCTAGGTTGATGACGTCCCCTTAAGGAACTCATAAGGATTATCGTATTAAACCCTGCAGGTGGATTTTATCCGTACGATAATTAGGTTGAGTGGTAGTACTACTTAAGGAATAAATGATATTAATTAATTAAAGCAATCCGAAGCTTTAATAATTAATGGACGTGCGATATCTTAAAATCAAGGAATTATATTGAGTCTAATAGAAGCTCTGATTCATTTCCGGATAGGACGGGAGTGCAATATTAATTCTCTAGTGGAATGAATTAATATTTATGGGTCAAATTATGTTCTGGGTTGAACATAAGAATTTAGGCCCGTAGGTAGCCCAAACCTTATACCTTCTAAGAGATCCCTAGTCTGGCCCAAAGGCCTCTATAAAACGAGAGGATTTCACGACTTGAACACTAAGGAAACATAGATACTTTCAGCCACCATCGTGACAAGAGTGACGAGAAGGGTTTGGAGAAGACGAGACGCATTCCACTCCTTGCAACCGTTTGGAGGATCGTCGTCCATCCAGCGTCCAAATGTGGTCGGGACACAGACTAGAAGATCACCTCAGATCGAATCAAAGCCTCTGTTTCAAGCTATCTCTCTGTTCTCACTTTAGGAGCATGCCTAGGGTGTTCGAAATCTTGTAAGTACATGTTTGGTATCCGATAACGATCCGTGGGATTGACCGCCTCGCCGGTGTGTTCCAGCATGAACTACCAGAAAAAACACGACCTGGATGTACTGGCCTCCAGGAGCCCGACAAAGTAACTGACAGGTATCGAGGCCGAGTGGTCTAAGAACATGATAGACCTAAGGATGAGGTCGGGATAGACCTCGGGACAAGGTCAGGTACGTCCTCGGAAAGGCCACGACAGACAGGTCAAGAGGTCGGATTTACGGCCTAAGGACCCATGGGCTAAAAATGTAAAGAGATAAAGAATCCCAGTAGGAGGAAAGAATCACTCAATCAATTAAGGACTTTGGCCAAGATAGAGACGTGGTAAGTTTAGGAAGTATGATCTGGTTGGATCTCTTCCCTAACAAGCCTTATATAAGGGCGACAGGTTCACTTTCATAAAAAAACACACACATTCTATGCTTTTATTCATATATTTTACATACACAGTTCAAGCCAGTTCTGGCTTGAGCGTCAAAGAGTTTTTCGCTGGGACCTCCCCCAACATATTGCAGGTCATCAGAATTCAAGGAAAATGACCGTTCAAGACGTAAGTGTTCAAATTCGTTAGTGACTCAAAGTGACGTAACAATAAACTCTTAATCGCAATCTAATTCACACACCATCCCTTTAGTGATCCCATCGGCGAAAACGAACGTCAACAAAAATGTATTTATAATCTAATTTAATCAGGTATTTTATAATTTATAAAACTTGATAAAAGCTTTTGCATAAATTACTCCAAAACACTCACAAACAAAATAAAATTAAATTAACAGAAATTTATAACATAAAGTTATAAAACACAAAAATTGAAGCGTACAATTTCAAAAGAAAAAAATGATATATAAGGATTCCAAGCCACAAATGACAAATGTTTGACATTTCGGTCGGAAAAACTCCACATTTAGAGGGAGACGCTAGCAAGAACATATTTCCC